AATTTGTAAGTTACTTTGATTACATATATGGTTGACATTTACCAACTCTTGTCATTTGTATGTAATTTGGTATATTAAAATCATATGAAATGTCTGGTATTTTATTAATTTGTAGGTTTTGTTCAGGGATCCTCCTAAAATAAGTCAAATATTTAAAAAAAAATTAACCACTTTTAACATCGGTCATGGCATGACCGATTTTAAAAGTCTCACTTTTAACATCGGTTAGAGACCGATGTTAAAATTCTCACTTTTTAAAATCGTCTCTTTTAAAATCGATCAGAGAACCGATTTTAAAAGTAAAAAATGACCGATTTTAAAAGTGTTTTTTCCACTAGTGCTCGACATATAACTTGTTATACATTAACTCGATTTTATATATAAAAAAATCATTATTGTACAAAAGTGAATCATATAACCAAGATAATTAATTTAGTTGATTTATGAAATAAATTTTAAATAATTGTTAAAAATTAGGAGAAAGGTGTTTCACATAGTTTTAAAAACCGGACCAGTCATCGAACTGGTTAAGGTATTGGGTTAGTGGGTCAAAGGTTGAACCAGTAGGTCACTAGTTGAACCGCATGACTCGATTTTTATTTATTTTTATTAAAAAATATTCATATTAAATATATTTATACTTATAAATTTTAATAAATTCATATCTTATTTTAAATTTAAATTTTTCTATCTTATTTAAAATTATTTTTATTTTTATTTTGTAAAAAAATACATAAAAAAATTACATGTTAAACGGTATATTAATACAAATTAAAAATATAAATAATATGTACATATATAATATGCTTGCAATTAATATCACAAAATAATATATGTAATATTTACATAGATATTGAATTATTAAATATATAATTTAAAATTAATAATATACTATAAAAGTTATTTAAGTTGTATATATTGCAAACAAATATATTAGAACAAGTAGTCATTGTTATATTTAATAAGACTCCTTGCTTTTTCATTAAGAGATTCAATTTTCATTATTATTTTTGTGATTTATGGTCCCTTAAAAA